TCTATGATATGATAGAATGTCTGACAATTCGGAGTTCATTGTTAGATCTTCTTCGCTAATGTATCCTTGACAAATTTAAATTATAACTGAGAAATACGTTAAATTATAAGATAAAAAGAACTCGGTTTTCCTTCAGATATCTTATAATTTTAGTTAAAAGTTTGAAAATCAGCCATTTTTAAGTATAAAATATTACAATTTCTAAAGCGATATTTAAACAAGTCCTTATATATTATGAGAAGGGCTGATATATATATATATATATATAGTCCGTACGCGTATACACGAATACGAAGTCGTGTTAGATCAGTATTGTCAAAAATATTTTCAAAGTTTTAACGCTGAAACAATTTATATTGATCTATAAATCTTAGCCAATTATTACCCTATTCGATATTGTACCTCATATTACGATTAATATAATTTATGTTTGATATCATAATTTGACAAGCATATAAAAAATCCTCCAATTGCTAATATGAACAAATACTTTTCTAAAATAAATAGGTGTGATTTTAGAACGCCTTTGATGAGTGAGTCTACGAGAGCGTGTTGTGTTTTGATATATTTAATCAGCAGTTATTGCAAGAGTTAAGTGAATAGCTCGCGAAAACTATTCTTTACGGAACCATTCTGAACCGGAACAATTGTAACTGCCGGTTCGAGATTGCACCACTGACGTCACACTGACTTGCGCAGCGCATCTTTAGTCTAATAATAGATTTCCTGCAATAAATCCTCGTCGCAGGACCAAGTACTCAGGGAAGGCCGATCCAGCGACGTCCGAACAATTTTCCAATGTCAATAGCATGGCAACACGCGCAATCTTGGCCATTTTGAATGCGCGCGAAATTAGTTAGCGAATTCTACATAAAACAACGCTTGTTCATTGAAATCGATTTACATATACCGTTCAGAGTATTTCATGTTGTTAACGTAAATTCTAACGAGTTTATTGTTGTCGCTTTTTACTATCCACAGCATTTAACGCGCCCGTAGCGAGCTCCCCTATAATCTTAAACGACTCTGATAAAATGCTGGCACTGCCTAGTTACGACAGTGTTCACTATGTGCTTTATACGTAATATATGAGCATTGTCATGTGTTGACAAAAATGTTTATCAATGACAATTAAGAAAATTGTCATAAAGTTGAATGGGAATTTATTCAAGGTACACGTTGATAAAGATAGTCTCATAAACGTCTTTGTGATACATTTATAGCCTTTAGGTCATCCCAAACTGAATTATACTTATTTCATACACGATAATCCACAATTACTTACACATTTCATAACGAATTGTATAATTACATTGAGAAATTTATTGCGTAATTAATCATTTTTTCATGTCAATTTCTGATGTTGCAATGTTTACCAAATCTCAGATCACTATATTAATGTGTTTGTATGATCAAACGCAACTTACAAAATAATAGAATATTGAAGAATGCGTACATGGCCTTATATGACCGGCTACAAACATTTAGTGATCAATTTGAATGTGTCGAAATGGATGCAATAAGTATCATTTGGTACGTGAATGAATATTTTGGTAGAGAGAGTCGGCAAAGGAGCAACAGATCACATGATGTTAAGTAACTTTCTCATATAAGGGAATGTGGTAGGCATATTTTGTCCTGGCAGAAACTTCTCGCTAGATATATTTCGACTAAAATTAATTTTTAATCTGGATTAAGAACGACTTTGAAGTTCATGAGAACTTAATGAATGTCTAGCCTAAAACGAAATTCTTACTTTCGATTATAACTTTGACTTTGGACTATAAGCAGTCCATTTAAATGTACGTGTTACATTATTATAATTTAGGAATGCAATATCTTTTCATTCCAATCCAATTATTGCTGCTGCAGCCATTTCATTCTCTGCGTCAATGAGTTCTTTGGTATTAGTTATTAATTTTAAAGTTGCGTATAATTAAGATTTTTAAATATACGATACTGAATGATTTAAAGAACTGTGTCACTTTATACATGAAAAAAATTAATTCCAATAAACGTTGTGGCATCGTAAAATGTCTTTCTATTCTCATTGATCGAAAAACTAAAAAACAATATTTTTCCGGCCTATGAAAAATATTTTAGGTGTAAGAGAACATGGCTGTTCTTTTTTATGGTTCTGGCCATCAGAAAAATAAACATAGGTAATTTCACAGATAAAATAAAACTCAACGCATGAGTCAGTCGTCGTGATCAACAGATTAAAAACGCTACCGCGGAAGTATTACCGTAGAGACAACACGAGACGTCCGCGTAGTAAAAATAGAAACGGATATTAAGATATATCATCGTAAGCGCTTCCTCTAGGCTCAAGCCAGTAAGGTCTTATTTATTAAAGATTCTTTGCGATGCTGTATCATTATATTTGCAACGCGTTCGTTTCACTACTACTACATTCGTTTCACACGCGAGATTCATTGTGAACTTCTAGAAAAAAAAAATCCAGGGGTTTCTAATACCGGTATAGTATTTCGATAATAAACTTTCAGTGTGGAAATTTAATATCAGACGATTTTAGATATCTTTTGCATATTAATATTTGAAAAACAACCATTTAGTTTTATACGGAATTTTGGAGTAATCCCGTTTAAAATTTCTCTCGAAGTCACTAAGTGCTAAGCTTTGTAACAGGCTGTTCGTAAAACGAAAAAATAAAGTATACATTTAATTGAAGAACATATTAATCGTTGTTTATAAATTAAATAAAGTATTTATTCAAAGAAATATTTGTTATTTATCAAACAATAACCACAGCTGAAAAAGTGAAAATACATTGCAATAATTACATTATTATCTTATTTATTAATATTATGTGTTTATAAGCTCCAGGTCTTTACCATTATTTAATACATTTACATAAATATGATAAGTAAATGGCATAAATATTAAATAAAATCTTAAAGATAAGTTTGTATTTGTACGCTAAATAAATAATACTGAATCCATTTGAATGTATAAGCATAAAATATAGGAATGTTCTAGAAACTATAAGAAAGGTTTTATACCTTTCTTATAGTTTTTAAGTTATTTTGAGGTCCTAAACTACTAAATGTTAATGGTGTTACAATCTATATATAAATACAGGAAGGTTTCAAGAAACTTAGATATCCCCTAATGCGTAGATTTTAAAACTAAATGATACAATAGTAAATATTACAATACGATTTTCTATATTCTACTACTTTTAAAGTAAAATGACGATGTGTTATAAATATATGATACTCGAAGCACTATCACACTGGCAATGTAAAATAATACAGTAATGAGCAAAACAAAAACGAAAAATGATGGAAACGGAAATTGATAATTTGAGATGTTAATTGTTCTGGATAAATCACTGAAATATCTTTAATGCTGATAAATAAAAATGTATGCACAAACTCACTAAAATTAAATTCGACCCGTAGAGATTATAAGTCGTATTGATATTATTGTTTTATCAATTGTTCTTTATCGTCGTCCTTCCAACGACAAAGTCTAAAGTTAAATTTAAGAGTAGCCAATAAAATTCTTTTGAAAATCAAGGTTAAATAATCAGGAAGGGATCAAAACAAATCTACAACGCCATCACAAACGCCAGTGTGAGAGAGCTCGACGTACAATAATGTACAAAAGTTAACTAAACTAAAGGAAACAAACAACTAGGAGACATAAGGAAAAAGGAATGATCTTACTTTTAATGTGCCTCATACGCCGGATAGAGTTAACACCACAAAATATCTGTAACAAAATAAAATGTACGTTAGTTGCATTGTCAAAATTTACTCTCTCCTTTTTATGATTGGGCGTTACGCTAAATCGCGTTGACACTACCAATGTTTTCTCCAGCAAAGTTCTTTTGACAGCCACTTGAACGATATTTACGACACTTGTCAAAGTGCGCTTAGATGGCGGTGGCTGATCAAAGAGAACTTGGCGCTTTAAAGTTTTCTTGGACGTGCATTGACTAGACCAATTGGCGACAATCGTCGAATGAAACGTATCTGACAACTCAGCCTAAATTTTTCGTGGACGAGGACAAATGAGCGTACGATTTATCCGATGACATACCCACGAAAAAATTTAGTAACATTCTAGATTGGGAGAAACAAGTGCTTGAATTTGCAATGGCATAGACAACCTTTTGGAGAGTGAGACCCGATTAGAACACACACCACATGAAATGCAAAAACTTAAAACATCTTCATTACGAATACACATTTTCTTGTACCGTATTGCTTCCCTGGAGTCTGCCTTTACGAGTAGCAGAGAGCTGCTGCGCCTAAATCATCAACGACTGTTCAATGAACGGATCAAAAGTATCCAAGTTAACTTTATATGTGTATATTAGTAAGCAGCAAGACTTTATTAAATCCATACTTTGAAAACTCACTTTGACAAAGAAAATTGCTATCGTGTCAACAAAGCTTTCTTTTGTTTTGTCAAGTGTTATTGCACCGTTCAAAAATTTACAAGAGCTTCCTAATGTTTTGATATGCTTTCCTTGAGCAAAGCTAGTAATAGGCTTCGTCCGGTGATAGTGGTAGCTGGGGCCCACTTTATAAGTTGGCAACGCATCTTCAACCCTACGTCGATCACTTAACATCAAGTGAAGATCAAGCTCGTTTGTCACCTTCTCAAATAAAAAAAGCATTAGCAAGTACCGTTGATCCATTACACACAGATGCGTTACATACAGAATTATAATACTTTCATGGCCGTACCCACTGTGAAGGGCCTCAAACCCGTGGGTTCTGGCTAGCCCACCGGTTCTGCGTTCGATGAAGCTTTAATAATTTCGGGACTGAAAGCGTTAGCATCAGTTAATACAAGAATACTTCCACTTCAAGCCGATCTTCTGTGAAGCAGTGGTACTACTTCGGACGATACTGCCCGTTCGTGAAACAGCTAACACTGGCCACTATCACTGACACCAAGTTGAGATTATTCACCATGTGGAGAATTGAGATAATGAAGGAGGGAAACTCGATTACTCACCTCACCCCAAGGCTCCGGCCGCTACGGACGCCATCACCACGAGGACCGCCGTGGCGACCCCGCTGGCCCCCACTTGAGCCCCGTAAACGGCGCCAGAGTCCGCGGCGGCGCCGAACGCGTCAGCTGCCGACAACGTCTCTGTCAAAGAAAGCGCCGTGAGCGCGCGGACGCGGCAACGGGCGCGTCGAGACTAACCCATGGGCTTCGGGCCTGTTCCAATTTCGAATTTCGCATGGTATTTTTTATTTTATTTTCCTTTATGTCGTGCATTCTATTACCCTTTATGCCAATGACAAGTAAGAGCAATTTTTTTCTAGTTTATAATATGTTTTGATTTCAACTCGGTAATTATTCTGTATGCCAACTATGATTTTTAATATTTTTTTCGTGGCATAAAATGATATAACCCGATTTCATTCATTATAAATTATTGAGTTATTAAGGTTTTGTTATATTAGATAAATTACTATGAATATAGAAGTTCTTGAAATATTACAGTCTTTCGCGATCAAACCAACGTACTGGATTTTGCAATGTACACAGGACAAACGTTTTTGGTTTATTTGACATCATATTTGTCTATACCCTTTATTTATTCATTATATATATTTTTTCTTTCACACATAATATGTATATATATTATTCGAATCAGTAAAAAGTTGTTCCTATTTCGATTTGTGTGATATAAGTTTAAATAATTAACACTGAAAATATATATTTCAAAGTGTGATTAAAATTAAAACCATCAATGTGGTTTAACAATCAATTTTGAAAAATGTTTTTAATCAAATCATTACTGTAAGCAAAAAGTAGGTATCAACAATCTTGTTACCATAACCCTACATGCAAAAGTAGTAAGAGAAATTTAATACGATTTATACCACAAGCACCAAAACCCATAAGATTAGTCTACGGCCCGCCTCATTCATGCAGTTGCTTAGGAAAGAGACATATTTATAAGTAAATACATACATAAATATAAGAAATTGTTCAAAAAAATAAATGCAACATAAAATTAACAATTAATTAAAATTTTAAAATTCTAAAAATTGCAATTTTAAAATAAATAACATATTATCGTACATTCAAAGGATTTGGCCCATTGGTAATTTGACTTTGTCATATCAGAATTGCATTTATTTCAATGAAAAAACCATACACGTTATACCATAAGTATATATAAAGCAAAGTAGCTATAGAGAGCGAAATGAATCTAGAAACAAGCAAAGAATACAGATAATAAAATATTAAAGTAAAATTAAAGTAAAGATAATAAATGTAAATAAAAGAAAATTGCCTGTCATAAATATTGAGGGGAATAATTTTTTATTATCAGCCTTTTAATGTCCGACCTAAATTAGATTGTTTTATAGAAGTGGTTATGAACCTTCCAAAATATTTAGACTAATTTTCTCAGGGACCTATAGGGAGATTATTATTAAAAAAATGAGCCATCACGGGACGCCTGGCAGATGTGAAACATCGACATTATTTTGTAAAAGTAATATGCAAAAAAGAACAGATTGTGATAGGAACTAAACATGTCATAATGATAAGATAAAATATTACGATTTTTTTCCAGATAACGATGACTATTTATTGAATAAACATTTATTTTCATTAAATACAAAACTTTACGAATTTATTTCAAATCGTGACTACTTAATTCGTTTAATCAGTGACTTCAGTAATATTACACACAATTAATTAAAGTTTATTTAATTAATTAATAATTATTAACAATTAATTTAAATTTGAGTAAATAATCGTACACACTACTGCATATAGACTGTATATCTGTACATCATATAGCGTATACGCCAGAAATCGGTTTTACGTGCAGCTATAGATGTTTCACATCAAAATGTAATATTATTATTAATATATTTTTTTAATAATAATAATAAATAATACATATAATATATACTATAGGTTAAAGATGTATTTTCTTGCTTGCATTAAAACGTTGAGCGATTCAGATTATTACATATATTTAAATAACTGTGGCTATGTTAAATATATGGGCCAATGTAAATCGTCAAAAGCCATATTTCAAGAATACTCTTAGCAGATCAACCATTAATACAGTTCTATATAAACGCAAAATTACAATCTCTCGAAAACGGTATAGTTTTCGAGAGATTGTATTACTCTAAACCATGTTCGAAAGAATAATAATATAATAAAATATCTTAAGCGTTTTATAAGAAAAAAAGTAGTGTTACCATTGAGAAATAAAAACAAATGACACATGACACCAAAAAAAAATGAATGTGACATACCCTCTTTACCGACTGCCGTGGTGAATGGGCGAATGAACAAAAAGAAAGATTCAAAATTATTATTAGAAGCGGCAAAATAAATTACTAGGGGTTTTTCGATTCGAAAGAATGAACCAAGCTATATAAGAAACCTGAATGTCTGAGAAGCCTTTAAGAAATTATATTCCTTGTCGTGTCTTCTGTTTTCCTTCGTAGAAGACCTTCGTCCAACAGTGGTACCAATAGGATAAATGCTAAAGTCGGGAATAACAGATGATTCATCCTAAGCTCTTATAGTAATGGAGCTGTTATATAAAATTTTATCTTTATTTTTTTAGGCGTGCAACACCAAAATTTATCGGGTGTATTACAACTTAAGCTAAAGAAATAATTGCCAATGTTTGTCAATTAAGGGCACCGGCAAGGACATTACATTTCACCTTTTAATAAAGTGGGTCCCGGCTACCTCACTTATGAGACGAGACGCACAAGTAAACTACTTTCACTTCACACCAGTCTTCTGTGAAGTCTCGTACTTACACGGACGGACCTGCCCATTCGTGCAACAGAAGAGCTATTGCGTTGCCCTACCACAATAACCTAGCTAATTATTATTATTATTTTATATCTAAAAATCCGACTATAAACTGGGATCTAACAATTTACCGTTCAAGAAATTTCAGAGAGCTTTGCCGGAACATATTTTCTCTTTGATTATAATTTAACCCCTATCTTGCAAGTTTCGGTTTGTTTAATTAAATAAAATATCTAAGTCAAACACAATTGAGAACGCAACGTAAACATATTCATGTGAAATATTAATGAGAACATTATACTGATAAATGTAATTGGAACGCATGTTAACATGTCGATATGCTTCTTGAGTTCATGTTTCATGACCTATACTTTAGAGGTAGGATTTAATGAAATGTAATGCAAAATGTTTTAATGGATGGACACTATTACTTTTAAAAATTGAATAGTATGGTGTATATTATGTACAAAGTAATAATGGTAACAATGACTAATTTAATATGTCATCTGTTGGTTGGCAACACATAACTTAAATGCGTCTATAAACTTAACGTCACATAACAATAGCTAGTACCTTTTCTCTTTTTCGAACTAGATTTTTAAATCCTTTATTGGTTATTATTAAATTGAACTAACTTTACGGAACACTAATAATCGTTTAATTTAACATAAAATTATTAATAATATAACAATACAATCTGAAAAAAACAGTTTTTTCAGTAATATGTTCGTGTAAATATAGTAAATTAAAATGTGAATGTTAAGACTCATATCGGTTTCAGGCCGATATGCTTCGTGCGGGTAAATTTATGTATAAAAAAACGGCCGAACGATCAATTACCGACCGTATCCCGTCGCGATAGAGTCCGAAATGGCTCCGCTACGACCATTCCCTTCGTCCAGCCGAATCAAGGAGTAGATGAATTTGTATTGCAACGGTCTAACAGTTCGAAAGTTAAAAAAAGCATTCCACAACGATCTAATCCCATGCGTATAAACTTATGTAAAGCGAAACAGCCTAGCGATCGATTCCCGACCGTGTCCCCTCGCGATAGAGTCTAAAACGGCTCACCTCCCTATCTGTTTAACAGGGCAATGGCCACTCCGTTGATCCACCCGAAACGAGGAGCAAGTGCATTTGTATTGCAGCGGGCTGGCAGTTTGAAAATTGAAAAAAAAAACGTTCCAGAGCGTCTAGAGAAACAGCCGAACGATCGATTCCCGACCGTGTCCCCTAGCGGTAGAGTCCGGAATGGCTCACCTCCGTATCTGTTTAGCAACGCCATGACCACTCCGTTCGTCCAGCCGAAACCAGTCTGCAGCACGTACTCGCCACCCCCACCGTAGCCTCCAAAGATGGTCGCGTCGTACTGCAATGGTGGATTTTTTTTATTATTCATTTATTTAATCTTTATTGCACTAAAATTGTACAAAGGCGAGCTTAATGCTATATATATATTGCAGTCTCTACCAGCTAACCCTAGGCAGAACAGAGACATAATGACAAGGGTAAACTAGTTGTAATCGCTACATAAACAAATAAATACCGTTATTAGTTCTCGTTCGAACGATACAGCGTATTATGTTGACAGTTGAAAAAAGACGAAAAGTTTTTCTAACGTTTTGTTAATATAAACACACGGTAAAACTAAAAATGCAATTATATCAACGTATACAATATAAGTTGAGATTTTCGTCAGTGCGATAGCCGCGGCTAGAGCGTCGGGCGGGTATCCCGGGGGACGGAGGTTCAAAACATTTGAAGTCGCCAAATGCTTTTCATACACTTTTCTACAAATTTTCAAATTCGATCGAAAAACCAGAAAACAAAAGCAAACTTCTAATCTAACTTAAATTCTCTTTCAAAGACACAATAATAATAACAAAAGGAAGAGGAACCATTTTTGGATTATTGGATTTCCTTTCTAGCTCTTTTTGCCAAGTAATTGTTACGATGCTATAAATGAAACTAATTTTATGGATAAAAATATTTCCACAGATACAGACTATCTGTCCCGTAACCGTGAACTCTGTGAAGGTTTCGTAATATCGGGAGTTAAAAATAAAAATAAACTCGATAAATCCGTAGCAATAGTTACATTCATAATGTCTAATCGCGTAAATAAGAGAAATTTTACAATGCTGTCAAATCTTGTAAATTTTTTCCGGTGGTAGGGCCACGCAACAGTAAGTACCGCGACCTCACAGAAGACCCGCGTAAAGTAGAAGTACATTTCTGCGTTTCGTCTGGCGAGTGAGGTACCCGGGGCCCACTCTGTTAAAGTTGCAAATGTCCATGGGCGGTGCTTATCACTTTACGTCGGGTCTGCCAGCTCGTTTTCCAGTTTCTCCCATTAAAAAAATCTAAACCGAGGGAGTCCCCCGCCCACCTTCTCCAGCATGGCGGTCTTCTGCTTCCACACCTCGAAGTTGGAGCGCACCCACTTGGTGGCCATTTCGTACGCCAGCCTGGTGGCCTCGGGCATCTTGGTGTTCGCCAGCCCCGTCACCACTATGTACTGCAGCGGGGGCCACGCGTTGGGGTAGTCCCACTGCTCGCCCGAGTGCTCGAACGTGGTGGGGATGCCGCCCTCGTATATGTCCACCTTTCAAATTCAAACGTCTCCGTTACGTAAAATGTTTGCTGACGCCCTCGTAATTCGTAATTCACATGTGCAGGCCCCAACTAGGTAGGATGAGGGCGAAGAAAAAGAAGACTGTAATGTTTTCAAACGATGCTTGAAGAGCAAAGAAGATTGCTGACGCCCTCGTAATTCGTAATTCACATGTGCAGGCCCCAACTAGGTAGGATGAGGGCGAAGAAAAAGAAGACTGTAATGTTTTCAAACGATGCTTGAAGAGCAAAGAAGATTGCTGACGCCCTCGTAATTCGTAATTCATATGTGCAGGCCCCAACTAGGTAGGATGAGGGCGAAGAAAAAGAAGACTGTAATGTTTTCAAACGATGCTTGAAGAGCAAAGAAGATTGCTGACGCCCTCGTAATTCGTAATTCATATGTGCAGGCCCCAACTAAGTAGGATGAGGGCGAAGAAAAAGAAGACTTTAACGCTTTCAAACGATGCTTGAAGAGCAAAGGAGAATGTAGATAGAAAACGTCGATTCTCGTCGAGTGGGCATAGTGATTATAGCGTCTGGGAAGTACCTTCTAAGACTTGGGTTCGATTCACACTGCGGCGGAGAACTTTGCGTCCAGTTTTTCTACAAAATTTTAAAGATAAAAGGGAGCGTACCTTCACTTTGTCCAGATAATTTATGACCCGCCTAACGAAGTACTCAGTCCTGGCCCTGTCGTAGCTACCAGTCCATAACGGGGCCACGTTCGAGGGGTAGAAATAGTCCCTCCTCCGGCCGGACTCCAAGCTGTAGTCCAGCCAAACGCCGACGTCTTCGTGCCACAACACCTGAACGCAATGGCAACGTAACTCATCAAGACTCGAAACTATATTAAGATTTTATCTCTATATTATTACTCTAACGCCCGGTTTCTGAAACACTGATCATCGTAGACGTTAACTAATCAGCTGTCAAATTTCATTTGAGTTGCCAAAGGATGGTTAGACTCTCTGAATTGACCAGAAGGATCTTCTCAATGGTCGGAATGATCAATCCAAAGAACCATCTCAACATTTGGCAACTAAAATGAAATTTGAAAAGCCATTTGACGGCTGATTAGTTGACTTCTACGACGATCAGCGTTTCGAAAACCGGGCGTAAAGTTAATTAAGGTACAATGAAATAAAAATATTTCTGATATTGTGTGAAAATTTTGCACGAGTCAGTTTGTTAGGGTACTAGTTGGTTCTTCACTCGTTGGAAACTTTTTCAGCGTCCGTGTTTCGAGGCGGAGTTTTTTTTACATAACTACGAAGAAACCCACGGGACTTACTAGTCCCCTATAAATTCAATTCAGTTATGATGATGATGAGATGATGAAAATGTAAGAACAATTATTTCATTTCCAAAGCGTGTGTATGTTTTTTTTTTCCAAAACAGTTGACTTTTTCTAATGCTTATAATTTAAAATGTATTATTTCTACGGAGTACCCCCATTTTACCTACCTTGAGACCGTTTTCCAATCATTATCATCACTACATATTATAAAACAAAGTCGTCCCGCTGTCTGTCTGTCCCTATGTATGCTTAGATCTTTAAAACTACGCAACTGATCTGGATGCGGTTTTTTCACTAGATAGAGTGATTCAAGAGGAAGGTTTATACGTATAATACATTGCACCCGTGCGAAGCCGGGGCGGGTCGCTAGTTTAGTACAAGTCCTTATTTACCTGCTCTATCGCCTCCATGAATCTAGCATGCGTCTCCCGGTAGTATCTCTCCTTGTCGGCGTTGCCTATCCTCTGGTAGAAGTCCGCCATTATCTCCGCGTTCCAGCACATGATGGCGTTCAGGTCCACGGGCACTATCGACCTGGTCTTCAGGTTGGTCAGGTTACCTGAAAGCCGGTGGCCGGGTCGAAGTGAAATCTTAAAGTGTTCCATGCGCTAATCCCTTGAGCCATTGTGAATAAACGAACGGACGGACATTTGCAACAGCCGACGGAAGGCAATCGAAAGTATGATTCTGCCGGTCTTCCGTGAGGTCGTGGTACTTACCCGGACGGACCTGCCTATTCCTGCAACAGCTGTTGCTATTGCAACAGCTACCACGGTTTTTACGCTAGTCCATCGCGTATGAGAACGTTCTCGAAGGTAATTAAAGTAATTACCTTTGTTGGTGCCATTCAGTATGAACCATCTGGACGAGAAGTCCCATCCTGATTCGGCGGCGGATTTCAGCTCGGCGTAAAGCTCCTCCTTCTTGTCCGTCGTGTCGAAGTGCCTGTAACGATTGTAAAGTGAAAGTCAAAGTGTAAAGTCGATTAATTTATTTTCTGCACTGAAACTGAAGCACTCAAATTACACCAATCGGTGTAATTGCATTGCAATTATATATGCTATCTCTATCGGTATAATACGTTCTATATCATTTGTCACATTCAACTGATGGAAAAACTGCGACGGGCGGGGATTTTCACTTAAAAAAGAACTTCCCCAATCGAGGCATTAATGATCCAGAAGACCGCGTCTACTGCCACCTTATCTCACACTTTCATCAGAAAAAGCATAAAACCTTAACCTCTTGAAGTATTTCCCTGATCAAGGCGGTCTATTACAACGGCAGTAGGATATACGATTCTACCGCACTCAGCTCAACTTACTTCGCGCAGTCAATATCCTCTTTGTAGCTTTCCGGCCTCGGCCCCTGCGACTGGTCGTAGTACCTCAGCAAAGAGTATCTGGAACGTTAAGAGATTCATCGTCATCATTTCAGTCTATTCGAGTCCAGTGCACACATGACCTCCCTCTCCTCCCACAGACTGCCACAAAGCACGATTTGTCATCTATCGTATTATCGCACAGTTCGTCACTCCATTCAGAATACATCTGCTAGTTTACATTACAGATACTTTTAGCAGCAATCAACCCAACAAACAGACATGAAACGATATCCAACACTACTTAACTGACAAAAATTATGTAACCTTTCTTGATATTATAACCGGTCTACATACTTTTCTGCTGGTATTATCTTTAATTTTTTTTTTACGTAAAACTGTGTTTAACGTCCATGATAATTCCCTCTTTTACCTATTAGAAATCGGAATTATTGTTTTCTTCTCAGTTTCACCCGATAAACGAACGAATGAATGAATTAATGAATGAACGAACGAACGAACGATGAATGATCTGACGCGTAAATGAATTAATTGGTTTTATTTAAATAATCGACAAAACACTTTCATTGAGCACACTTACTTCCGTCTGTCTTGTTCGATTTCCACGGTGTGGTTGTTCATCCAGAAATCGAACTCCCTGTCCAGGGTGTGGATGTGCTGCTCGAGGAAGTTCAGGTCGAAGGAGTCTTCCATCAGCAGCTGGACCATCGGTATGAGGAGCGGGGGCTGAGACCTGGGAACGAGTGGGCGGACCGGTCGAGAATGGAGCCGAGTTTCTTTTAGGATAATGGCAATAGAACTTATTAGACAGGAAGATGATTGTACAATCAATGTAAATGTAAAATTATTAAATAAAATGTTTGAACAAGTGATATTGATGTTTCATCGAATGTGTTAAAAGGTTTGACATGTGTTCAGGCTGTAATAGTATGCCGGTAAGTTAAGTACTGATACAATTTTAAGAAACGAATAAAAAATGTATTGACAACGTAAATCTACGAATAGCATAAGATATGAATCACATAAGAAATTGTAAATTTTGAATTTGAAACTGCTTGATAGTCATTCGTGGATCGGTGGCGCAGGTGCCAAGCTATTCGATTTGGGTTATGGGTTCGGTTCCCACGCGGGAAAAGTATTTGGATGACCCATAGATGGTTGTTACGGTTTTAGATGTTTGTTCCCAAGGAGAACTAGATAATTAAACAATTAGATTAATGAACAAAACTTTCGGCTCCGAACCCGCGTCTTCTGGTGTCTTCTTCTGCGCGCGAAAAGATTCATCTTGAATAGAGACTAGCACCAAAAATAAATATAATAATAAAGTTATATACAAAAATTTTAATTGTATCCATCCAATATTTACAACATTAAATCTATCTAATAGGGTCTAAATTAATATACATTACCTATAAATTACATATAATCTATAAGATAGTATGTAATTTAGATGTGTTTTGATTTAGTCAAGCTGCCAAGAACGCTCGCTGAATGGTTATGCTTAAACTTTGAGCGAGAAATTTAAATCGACAATGACATAAAGACGCTGACCTCATTACGTAGTAGATTCTGCCGCCGTTCGGAATGAAACCAATCCTGTCGACGATGTCCAGGAAGTTGGAGACCATCCCCTTGGCGGTGGCGCGCATCTCGGAGAGCAGAAGACCCTTAATGATCCAGTAGGAGTCCCAGTAATAGAACTCGCGGAAGCGGCCACCTGGACAAGTAATAATTGAAATGCTATTTAAACACTCGAGTAGTTTAAACCTCCGCGGCGCAGTTGCTAAAGTGATGGCTTACTTGCCGAGTCGTGGGTTGGATGAGATAACTTTTCCATTTCTGGACGTTTACCGACGTGAGTGTATGTAAAAAGTCCTTACAACACAGGATAATATTATCGTACAGTATGGACAATGTTAAAAAGAAATAAAACTGTTTGGTTTCATTGCACGGTACGTTCTCTGTTTTTATGTAAAGGAAAGTGATCTCGCGGTCAGTCTGGTGTTAAGTGACCGCTGCCCATGGCACCTGCAAGACCCATACGGTTGCAAATGCGTTGCCACCTTTTAGTAGTGGGACCCGGCTAACTCACTCACCAGACGAAACGCAAAAGTATGACACTTTCACTTCACGCTGGTTTGCGACCTGCCCATTTGTGCAACAGCCGAAGATGTTGGCTGGCCCGACCATAGTTATAATGATAAATCATTTCAGTAAGTAACTAAGTCTTATCCTTTAAACGAGCAATTCTTGTTTATATATATATATATATATATATATATATATATATATATATATATATATAATCGGAATCTCGGAAACGGCTCCAGCGATTTTCATGAAATTTAGTACGTGCGTAGATTCGGGGGCGAAAAATCGATCTAGGTAGGTTTCATTTTTAGAAAATGTTTTTTATCCCTGTTTTCGGGGAATGAAAAATATCATTCGAATATGACAGTAAATTTCGCCGCAAATAAAAGTTATAACAGCTCGGTCGGTAATCGGGCGGCCCCAACAGACGGCCGCGGTTCGTATCACGATCATTTACACACTTATTTTTTTTACTATACCAGATCATTATCTTTATTTTTTATTTTTTTTATTTAAAAAATACATGATTTTCTCCAGGTACTATATATAAAAAGTCACGACACATAATGCGGGATAGACTAGGACAATATAAAAAAATCCAAGTATATTTGTATGTTCTGATATTCAGCGGTGATGAGAGATAAAAAATAGAGTGATGCAGTCGAATCATTTACCGGGCACAATCACGGGGTTGTCGACGTAGATGATGGAGTAGAGGTCCTGGTTCTTCTTCACCTCCTCCTTCATCTTCCTGCCGAGGTCCAGCCAGAGGCGGTTCAATTCCGACGCCCACTGGTGGAGGAGGGGGTCCTTGATCCTTTGGAGGAACGCTGCAAAGGAACGCAACCATGGTTAGTTAAGTTATACTATATATAAAATTCTCGTGTCACGGTGTTTGTAATTGAAATCCTCCGAAACGGCTCGACCGCTTTTCGTGCATAACAATTTTGTGTGCATATCGGCCAGGGTGGAGAATCGGACAACATCTATTTTTCATCCCCCTAAACGTTAAGGGTGGTCCATCCCCAAACATTTTTTTCTACCCTACAAATAATTTATACGGCAAAACAACGTTTGCCGGGTCAACCAATATACTATATACGTAAAAGTGCTGTATTTACTCATTAGTGATTTCTTAAATCACACACAATTTCATTATTTTATGTTCAGCCATTGTGTACATCGTCTCAGGCTTCTTTGTTTAATCGTGTTATGTAAAGAATAACGTATTTTTAACTTATGTTAAAATAATTTTAGAGATCAATTCCTAAAACAGTTCACACTCCGACCGTCCACATTGAAATAAAAGAAAATGTTATTACATTTAATTATTGCGCTCAAGAAATCTTTAGCCTAGTGAACAGCCCGTTATTAGTCCTTACTTAACCAAGGTTAGGATTCATATTAAATCTTATTCTTAATTAACAAGTACTTCTTAATTAACAGGTACCTAATATGCGATATTTTACGATCATTGTGATCCAAACATTCCAAAAGGATATTGCTTCGACAAGCTATCAAGCCTTAGGTAGACGGAAATAGATATTTTATACGTAACTTTTATGCAATATAGGAAGATAGTTTGCCACAACGACATACTGATTTATCATAAGACTTAGGAAGTTTACAAAACTATTATTATTGAAATATATACACCTGAGGTTTCTTATAAAAATAAAGTAACAGCCTATATATGTCCCACTGCTGGGCAAAGGCCCCATCTGTACAGAGGTCGTCATAGTCCACCACTCGACCCCACTGCGGATTGGAAGATTTCACATATCTACGAAAATATTTTTGTTTATGTTATTTGGAAAATGTTCAGGTTTCCTGGCGATGCTTTTCCTTCACCGCTGAGCACGTGATAAATTTATAATATACATGCTTATTTGACAATTAAATTAACAATTATAAGTAAGTCAACACATATACACATGTATATACTAACACTACCCTTAACAGAACTAATAGTTTCAAGATTATATTTAGAACGATATCAGCTCATTAAAGGACAGTTTATTAATAGTAAAACATTAATTCGTTATCGTTCGGAACTTTTGTTGGCATGTTGTGTATATTCAAACATTGTTCCCTAATTCATTCTTGATAATATGCTATTGTCTCGTTTACGGAAATTAAACACTACGAAACATCAATTGTTTCCTGTCAGTAATCCATCATCCCCTCACTGCTACGATGATGATGGCAGATCGTCAATCAAAATACCTGACGAATTTATGATATTTTTCTAAGCCGGTGCTAGTCAAGTCCGCGCTCAAGACGATACTTAAATATGATATTAATGGATAAATTTTAAGTCGCATAAATCATAAATTTCGATATCAAAGGCATCACCGCTTGTTCAAATATTAGTACCCGGTGGACTTTTTTTGGTAAACTATGTATTTTGGAAATAAAAACGAAGAATGCAATGATGTGGTATAAAAAAAAAGAGAAAAAAAAGTGTGGAAATGATCGTGATACGAACCGCGGCCGTCTGTTTTGAGGCCGCCCGATTACCGAACGAGCAATTATAACATTTTTTTTGCGGCGAAATTTACCGTCATATTTGAATGATATTTTTCATTCCCTGAAAACAGGGATAAAAGGACATTTTCTAAAAACTAAACCTAGCTAGATAGATTTTTCGCCCCCAAATCTACGCACATACTAAATTTCATGAAGGTTTCGCTGGAGCCACAAGATATATACAAGAATTGCTCGTTTAAAGGATAAGATTAAAGATATGAGGCGCACAGCTCATTCGGCTATTCTGGGATTGTTTTGAAGAAGAGGCAGATTGGGTACCCCACAGCACCGAATATTTTTGGATTGTCCATCTAATCAACTCACGTTTAAATGTCTAACAAAGTCAAAGGTGGGCCTCAATACAACAACATCAATTATAACAGTGATAATAGTTTTACGTTTCTCTTTAAATTGAAGATTTGTTATAAGTTAACAAAACCACACTCTCGCGGATAAGACAGTAAAAGTTAAGTTAAAGTAATTCTAGGTTGAAGCATGAAATTTTACACGAGAGTTTTTCATCGATGTCGATAGGTAGTTGCGTAGGTATCGGCTTCGACGCCAGGGGTCGTGGCTTCGATCCCCACACGGGACAACTATTTGTGTGACCCATAGATATTAGTTGAAAAGCTGTGATAGCTTAGTGTCTGGGCGCTCGCCTTTAATTTAATATACTCGAACAACCCGAGTCCGATCCCCGGTGCCAGCACCAATGAAATTTTCAATTTTAAGCGCTGAATTATCACGTGCTCAGCGGTGAAGGAAAACATCGTGATGTTTTCGAAATTATAATAAAAAAAATATTTCGAAGAAATGTGAAGTCCGCCAATCCGCAGTGGGGCCGCGTGGTGAACTATGCCGGACACACCCTGTAAAGAGAGGCCTTTGCCCAGCAGTGGGACATGTATAGGCTGATACTTTACTTTTTACTTTTATAGATAATTGTTTCGGATCTGGGTGTTTGTCCGCGTGAAATTTATGTATGTAAAAACGTCTTTACAACACGTTATCATAAAAATAGTAAGGGCAATGTTTTTTAAAAATAAAAAATGAATAAAACTCCATACGAAATTAACAGTTCGTTAATGTCGTAATACTGTTCAAGGGCTTTGGGTTTAAACTCCTGTGTTGTGCCTTGCTTGCTGAAAAAAATCCATCGGGATAGTTTGAAGTTTCCTTTGCGCTATCGATATGCGAAACTGCAAACGGCAAATTCCTATAGACCGATCGATTATTTTTAATTACTCGGTTATAATTGATCACTTGTTTACGAAATGAAGGCAGCCTCCGTTAGTTCTGCGAGATAAATGAAACGTTTCATTCGGAGAAGCGGCGGTTATTGTAGCGTACTACAGCTCGCTAATGGGATTTGTTTAAACATGAGGTGACGTTTGATGGAATCCTTACGAATATTATAAAGGCGAAAGTTTGTATGTATGGATGGATGTTTGTTACTCTTTCACGCAAATACTACTGAATGGATTTTAATGGAACTTTACAATAATATAGCTTATACATCGGAATAAGACATAGGCTATAAATTATATACATATTTTATGTATATCTGTCTTTCTGTCTGAATGTTACGCCTTCAGCCTATTCTACGCAGACGTAGTTGCGGCCAGCAGCTAGTCTTTTTATACAACGCCCAGTTTCTGAAAGCGGCTTAGTTGTTCTGAACAGCATTTCGAGTTAGGTCATGTTGGCTAATAATGATTTCTTATTTTAACGCGAATATTATACATACATTGTTAAATGAAAGTACTTTACGGATTTTGTTGCTTTTTAAATTGATTTTTGAATCCTTTAGAAATTTAAAGTTTTCTATTGTCTCTGCACTTAAGATTAAACATTAAAACTTGTAGAAAATTTAATACTTTTTTTGTTTCCTTCTTGTTTTGAATCCTTTTAAATCATTTGCCCACCACTGGGACATATTTAGGCTCGGATTACTTTACTTTTTAATGAAGAAATGGACAAGTGAGCTGGCGGTTCACCTGATGTATCTATATAATCGCCGCCTATTGACATTTGCAACAACCGTAAGGTTGCAGGCGCGTTGCCACCGTATAACTAACATGCGCTCCGGCTACCTCACTCAACAAACGAAACGTCGAAGAATAACACTTCCCCTTCACGCCGGTCTCCTGTAAGGTCGTGGTACTTACCCGGACGGACCCGCCCATTCGTGAAACAGGCGAAGTTGTTCGCCCTACAACGGTAGAGTACTTACCCGGATTGTCCTTCCAGTCGGTGGGCCGCCAGTCCTCGAATTCCGAGCCCTCAGGGTCGAAGTTCTGATTGACGAACTCCTGGATATCCGCTTTCGTGGGCGGCATCGGGTGGGATCTGGAAAAAGCTCTGAGCATATAACAACGCAGGTACTGGAACATAATTAATCTATCGATTACAACCCTTCTGCACAATTTCTGTTAACACGTTCTTATGTGTTCGCGTAAATTAAACAGTTAAACAAAGCTATTTCAAGGGTTTTATCGCTTTTAATTCCTGTTTTAATGCTCTTCTGATATTCGAATATTACAAGTACTTCTACTTCTACTTTGTATCACTTAGTCCATTTGTGTTTTTATTATCCGTATATGTATTTATTTATGTATTTATGTCTATATATATATATTTATGTATATATTTATATGTATGTATCTATATATTTATTTATGTGCATATGTATATGTTACATTTTATGGCACATCTATTAACTTAAATTTTTATAGTTTCATTTAGCACCTACCATCTACTTTTCACCATGACAAGGGTTGACTGGTAGAGAATGCCATTAGGCATTAAGTCCGCCCATTGTAGCCTTTAACTTAAGGTTTAACAATGAAGCTTAAATAAATAAATAAAGTACGTAATATCTAATAACACATTACATCCGATTTCAGAAAAGGTGATTGTTAATTCAGTTGCTTTTTTATATTTCTCAGCTAAGAACTCCGTCATTTATGGACCGATATTAAAAGTTAGTTTTGTTTTGATTTCGGTTTAGCTCGTATAATAGATATGGGACCCGTATCTATTTCATTGAGATTGGATTTGGAACGCCTCAAAATCAAATAGAAAATATATTTTGAATGTGATATTTGTAGTCGGCCATATTTTTATGTTAAAAATGTTATCTTAAACTAATTTGGTAGAGCCACGCACGAAGACCGGAAGCGGCCAAACTAAAAATTACACAAGTTTATATAACTATTTCAAGACATGTTTCTACACATGATCTAGTCTTACGCCCGGTTTCTGAAACACTGATCATCGTAGATGTCAACTAATCAGCTGTCAAATGGATTTATAATTACAATCTAGGTACCAAAAGGATGGTTAAACTCTCTGAATTGACCAGAATGATCTTCTTTATGATTAGAATGATCAATTCAAAGAGTTTAAACATCCTTTTGGCAACTCAAATGACATTTGAAATTCATTTGACAGCTGATTAGTTGACATCTACGTTGATCAGTGTTTCAGATACCGGGCGTTAAACTAAAAAAATTCTTGTACTATGGGTACTAGCTGATAAATATAATTAAACAATCTTATCTTTTGTAGATAATTAATAGAGGCTCGCAGCTGTTTCTACGGGTAAACTTATACTTTTGCGTTGAATGGTAAGTTTTTAGTTTGCGTAAGAAAAAAAGTAGGTATTGTGAGAAATTTATCACACAGACATAATAATCGACTGTCCCAAAACACTGAATGCGGATGATCATGTGAACTTGTATTTTGCAATATCCTTCCATACATAGGCTCATTTCTGACAGACAATTTAAGATTGTGAACTTTTATAGATAAAAAGAAATATATATATATAAACATCCGAATTGTATGACCTACTCCTTTTGAAGTCGGTTAAAAATAATGTACTTAGGGACAGTCGTATATTAAAAGTAACTAATATTTCTATTTCGTAAAATCCTTCCTTAGCTGACCTCTACTCGGCGAAACGAATATTCCTACCAAATTTCAAGTCTCGACGCCTTATGGTTCCAGAGATATCGTGATGACTCAATTATCGGTGGAAATCTCTTATATGTAGAAGGCTTGAGGTTACCTGTTCATCATCTGGAAGAAGTGCTGCAAGGTAATGTTTGGCGAGAATTTGATCTTCATGTCAACGAAGGTTTTTGAGTCGTTGTAGAGACCAGCCATCTGGACCGTATGCAGCAACGGTCCGTGGCAGTATATTAGGCTGGAATAAGAAAAATTTTTCAAAGCATATTTGAAAAAAATATAACAGGCTAACAGTCCGTGGCAGTATATTAGGCTGGAATAAGAAAAATATTTAAATGCATATTTGTAAAAAATATAACAGGCTTTTTTCGAATAGTACTATAAAGATTATGTACAAAGTAGGCGACACTCAGGATTAAAGACGACATAGTACACTAATATAAAAAAAAGAATCTCTCGATGTGTTTGCTACAAAATTTGGCTAATTAGACGATTGGCTAAAAATGTCATCAAATTTAGTCCAGCCGTTTTGGAGTCCATTGTTTCGTCGTTTTGGAAACCAACATGCACGTAGATTACTACACTAGTTTTATTTCTAAACGATTCGTTGTATTTTGTGCCATCATTGTAAGAAAATAACAAACCAATTTAAATTTGGTCGATCGGTAAATAAGTACCTTCAAACAGAAAGACAATTCGATTAACACAGTAGTATTACCATAACCAAAATATCTTGAGCTCCCACGGTATACACTCGAGACAACTCCAGATGCTTGTGATTCAATGTTCAAGTGCGATAGTATAAAACAATCGAATATTGTAAACAATCACGCGACTATCACCCTTGACCCTAGTGTCGAAGGTGCAAATTACTATGTCACCGCCACACACGATAGTAACCGGTTCGAACCGGTAGTTGTCAGGTTAATGCCGCCAAGCCGAGGTGAAGAATGTTATGTTACATCTGACGTACTGAATGCATAGTAACTGCCAACCTAAACAGTATATTGTATAAAGTATATTGTGTACGATGCGCTTACAGCGGTTAGCTGCACATTTCAGTCATTGTAAGAGGTAATACTCACTAACGTAATTTAAATTAAAATAAACTGATAGTCAGTTTATCGCTTAGAATTCAATATACTCGAGAAACCGGAGTTCGAATCCCGGTATCGGCACCGTTGAAATTGTTGATTGCAAAGTTCTGAGCTACCACGCGCTGAGCGGTGTAGGAAAACGTAGCGATGAACCAGCATATTTTCGAAATAATTAAAAAATACGCAAAAGTAATTTACAACACAAGTTTAATTTCGCACGTACCATAATCAAAAAAAGTCATGTCTGTTGTTTGGGGGCACAACTTAAATATTTTTTTATTCTTCTTTTTAGTATTTGTTGTTATACATCGTCTGTGAAAATTTCAACTGTCTAACTATCACGGTTCATGAGATACTGCATGGTGACAGACGGACACACAGACAAACAAACAGAGAGACAGCGGAGTCTTAGTAATAGAGTCCCGTTTTACCCTTTGGGTACGGAACCCTAAAAACTAACAAATACAATGTTTTAGTTCGGATTTACTATTATACTAATTTTATCCATCAGACAACATAATACGGGCTTAAGTATTGTTTAATTTAGTGGATTAACTCATCAACGTCCGAAAGTGTCATTATGCATAAAAAAATGTGTAGGTGTTTTATCATATACTTGACAATACCTGTTGACACTTATCTAGTTGCGATTAATTTAATGCACCGATAATAGCATCATGTAGAACATATAATTTAATACACTCGCGATTTTCATTCCGAATAGGATAACAAACATAAAAATAAAAAAACTTTCCGAATTTCAAGATAGTTTGTAAGACAAATTCCGTACCCAATTTTTATTCATTTATTTATTTTCTATACCAACAGCATAAAATATAGTACAATTTATGTGAGTAAAATTTATGTGTTCTTAGATATAGGACCATTTCATATATATCATAAGTACCTATATGCTTTTTACAGGCATACACAACTTTAGAAACAGAATGAAATACACTTATACCGCCCGGGGAAGTATCACCACCTCACAGAAGACCAGCGTGAAGTGGAATTGTTATACTTCTGCGTTTCGTCTGGTGAGTGAGGTAGCCGGGGCCTACGTTATTAAAAGGTGGCAACGCGTTTGCAACCTTACGTGTGTTGTAAATGTGTATGGCTGTTATCATTTAACATCAGGTGAACCGCTAGCTCGCTTGTCTCCTTCTCACATAAAAAATTCTGTAGCTTAACATCAAGAGTGACCATAGATCAATTGGACACAGAGATTTGCGAATTCGGGCACCGCAACTTTGACTCAATCCGCCGGGATTTGAACCTGTCTACTCAGTCGAGACGACGCGCCATTCCAGAGCCGTGTATAACGCAGCATCGGTATTCACACCTGTCTCCGAGCATGTTCGCGTCCAAGCCGCTACGTCGTCTGGTATTTATGTGCATCGTATAAATATAGACGGCACGGTTGAGCGTCGGCGGCCAGCGGACAAGGTCGCCTGCGATTACTTCCGGTTCCGTAGCCCCGTATGCGCGGCGGTGAGCGCACTTGGTTAAGTATGACATATTTGCCTTGACTATAGACATAGATATAACAGACGTCATCTACTGATAATTTTTAAACTAAATTTTTTTAACATTTGATAAGGCCGATGGTCGCGGCTTCCATTTCCGATACTCACACGGGACAACTATTTGTGCGACCCACAGATAATTGTTTCGCATCTGGGTGTTTGTCCACGTGTAGTTTATGTATGTAAAACGCTCTTATAACACTGGATAGTGTTAACCTAAAGGGCAATGTTTAAAACAAAGAAATAAATAAAAGATTAATTTAATACTATTAACAATAATAATCACATGAAATAATCCGATCTGATCTGCTGAGAGGCGATACGAGTTCTGAATACAGGCTCTCTTTTTAAACCCTCGTTCAAACAGATTCAATTAGTATCCATTTTGGTAATACCAAAACACTCTCCCATCGATATTAGCTCAGAAAGAAGATGGAAGAAGAAGAAAGACGAGGATATTTAAGATGCGTTCAAAAGTACTTTTTAATATGTGAGATGGACTGATGGACGATGGTATGTCTACTAAGTAATCAGGTTAATATAAATTGATTTGCGCCCTAAACATCTGCAACATCTGCAGACGTTTTCCAACGTTTAGATGTGGACTCGGTTGCCACAAACGGCAAAACTCTAAAGTATAACATTTCCACTTCACGCCGGCCGTCTGTGAGACCACTTTAGGTTTCTATGTACAAAAGAGGCAGACGTGGACCATGGGCCTCTGAAAAACCCTACGAGTTGCAGATGACAAATCGGACAATCGGACAATACCACAACGCGCCGGCCCTCTGTGACGTCATGGCACTTTCGGACCAGCCTGCCCATTCGTGCAACAGCTGATGCCGCTGACTGCCACGTTTAATAAAGTACATAAATAAAACGATCTACAATTGTCATTAAAAATACGTGGCAAAACTTGTCCCCTATCCGTACAAAACCCCACGCGGACGAAGGAGTCAATTTTAAACTATAGAGTGCAACCGCACCTTCCTACTTATACATTTGACAGGGCCAATGTCATAAATCACATTACACCTGACAGGGCCACGTGCGAACTCTATATGTGTTTCGAATAATCGGAAATTCGAACAGTTGTCAAATCTCCGATTCTTTCATAATATCGCCGCCTTTTGTAAACTAATTGGATGTAACATACGAAACAACCCGTTAGACACACACGGAATACGAAAAATATATCAGGTAATGAATTTCCCATAAATCGAACCCAAGACTTTCGCATCGAAGCCCTATGTTTACGTGAGCCACCCGACCTTGGACAATTCAGGAGCTGGCGATATGCTCCTAACTTGATATTGGCTTAATTCAACTCACTTTCAGAAGAATTTGGTCTCCCGATTTGATGACTGAAGCGTGAGTGCTTTGAACGGTCTATTCTAATAATAATAGATCGAACGAGATAATAGTATCACGTATATACGATATATATTTCCATTTGAGATGACAATAGGCGAATAAAATTAAACGTCTTACGCAAACGATTGATAAAATCAGGGTCAAATAACACGGCAATTATGCAGGTGGGTCATAAATTCGATTACTTTTATTTAAAAATCTTTTTTTTTCTTATCTTTGGGATTAGTGTTGCCAAGATGAGTTAATATTAATATACTATCAGTTGATCTTCTATATATCAATCAACAAAAGAAAAACTGATTCCCATAAACAATAGTTTCCTAACAATTTGTTTATTATAATGTCAGGGTAAATACACGACAAATGTAATTGTTTAAATTCGATTTGTTATTTAAAAATCTTTTTTTTAGCAAATCGTAGTAATGGGATTAGTTGCCAAGATGTAGTTAATTTATATACTATCATTGATTTTATCGGACTGATACATTGATCTAAAATGTATGCACTGATTCCCATAAACAATAGTTTCGACAATTTGTTTAATAACTTCAGTTAACCAATAACCCATAATTAATTGCCAACTATTTGTAATTTTAGCTTAGCAAACCATTCGTAGTAATGAAGTAGTCATTTATTTCTTGTATTTTATCGGACTGATTACATTATCTAAAATGTATGCACATTCCAATATAATGCATGCAAATGCGACAATGATAATAACTTCGTTACAATAACCTAATATATATATATATATATATATATATATATAAAGCGTTATAAAAGCTTTGGAATGCGTTGACATTTAAAAAAAATAATAAACGGGTTCCGTTCAAGACATTTTCGCTTAGCGACAATATCCAATTAAATATATTACAGAAACTTTTAGCAGACGTGAAAAAACTGGTGTGACTGGCAATCGACAGAAGCGTCGATTATAAAAAAAAATCACATGGAATCTTCCATCGATATTGAGATGGTGTTTTGCGAGTTGACGTTTTGTAAATTAGACGGGTTCAACTTTTCGCGCCGAAATACTCATTTCTTAATGTTCCAAAATCTAAACTGCTTTATAAATAAATGTTCAAACTAACTTAATCCCTTACATATTTCGCCTTCGTATTCTCATAATAATCGTTATTCATTACAATAATTTAACTTTATAAACTCAAAAAATTTCAACAGAGCAACAATTTCATCGGGTATGTGTAAAACGATGCCCATTGTATGTACATCAGAGATTTTGCGGACGTATGCCGACAGAATACGCTCCCGCCTCGCTCACTAGAACAGCGGTGGCCAACCTTTCAAAGAACTTTTAAAGAATGCGCTAAGAAGAAAAGATATTTAATATTTAACTGACAAATATCAACTAAAAAATATAAATCCCAGAACCAGCTTAGGATCTTCAAGAATATTATAAATTTTCCCTTTTCTTCGTTCACTAAATTATTTTATTTTAACAGTCAAAATAAAAAAAGAAATCGTTATTAATTACTTTAAAATTATTTGAATACGGTTAAGAAAAATTTCAAAAATGGAATTTTAAATTACTATTTTGAAACTCTTGCAGAGATCCCCCCGCCATGTACCATCCCGCCCATGGACATTTGCAACACCCTTAGGATTGCAGGTGCGTTACCACCTTTCAATCAAGCGTGGCCACTTCTACTTCACGCCGGTCTTCTGTGAGGGCGTGGTACTTACCCGGACGGACCTGCCCATTCGCACAACAGCGAACACTGTTGCGTGGCACTACCACAGTATGTTTGAGAAATAATATTTTCTATATATATATATCAGACATTAAATAAAATAAAAAACTCACCTATCACATGTCGGTGGCAGATTGCTCCTGTCGGCACCCACCATCACGGCCGCCGCAGCGACGAGAATGCAAACCAGGCTCACCATTGTCAAACGATGGCACGTCACTTAACTAAGCAAACTAACTAACGGCTAATATCACTCGTATTCGTTTAGCTATACGAATTAAACTAAATAATAAATAGAAGGAACGACGAGATTTCACTAACTAAGATCACTTGAGGAGTCCGAACGGCTTTGGTTTCACTGCTGTTTATGAATGTGTCCACAGTTACGTGTTCAGGAAGGTGTTGAGTATTTTAAACGGCTTCCTCCTGAGGGGTTGAGCGATCATTTTGGGTGGTATGGCGCCGGTGGTGACTGCTCCGTTGACGGCACTCTCGTGCCCGAATGCATCTGTAACAAGCATTGTGACATTAAAACTTCGTCGTTTCAGCCTGTTTGAGTTCACTACGAACACAGGCCTCCCCCATAGACGGCCACTAAGCACGATCCTGAGCTACCGGCGTCAGGTTTTTTAGAATATAAAAATGTTATTTATAAAATTAGTTATAAATAACATTTTCAAAGATATAGTTTAATTTTATACTCGGTTTGTGGTGAGCAATAAACGATTATTGTATTGTTATTAGACTTGTGATTAGCAAAATACAATATGAAAGAAACCCAATTGAAGCATCGATTACTAAGCTTACAGAAATGGCGTGAAAAGTCTTCCACTGCATAATACGATACGAAAGTAAGCCAAAGATCAGCCAATGCTGTAAATATAATTTGCTGATCGTGCAAAGCCCCACAGTTACAATATTGTTTCTTTCACTGTCGTCAAGTGTCGTAAGTGGTAAATTTATCAGAGTACAGATATAAATTACGCTCAGTGTGTTTTATTTGTGACATTGTTTTAAGCCTAATTGTTTTAACTGTTGATAACGGATAAAAAAATATAAAGATTAAATAAAGATAAGAGCTGACACCATAGACATCACTGCCATCATGTGGCACTATAGTCAAACATTAGTTATTTGTGTCGTGATCACGAAAAGTAATAAAATAACAAGTCAATACAGATATCACTATTACAATGAAACGGAATTTAGCTTTCGTTAACTATTCCAAGACATATTTCAACCACATGACAATCTTTCGGACACTTTAGCTCATCAAATTACTAAATCATCACTAACATTGACACATCAACCCAGGAGTAATTATTAAGCGGAGCATATCGGTTGCCAGGTAAACGTATCATTGGGCAACGCTACAATATTGACAACCAACTCGAACTGTAATAATAACTTGTACAAGGTATAAAAGAGTTGGTTCCATACAATAAATCTACTTAATCTATTATAGATCGACAGTTTATTGCTGAGCGCGGATCAATATCAATACGGCCCTTATGCATTGTATGCGAGACAAACATTATTGTGATCCAAAAAGGTAAAACGCCATCTACCATCCAAAATACAAAACAATGAAATTCGCAATATGACCCGTACTGTTTATTAATTAGTTAATTTACATTAACTAATTTTGATTTAGTTACGCGAAATGTTACGAAAAGTCGCGAGTATCACCACACGTATGCATACAACAATTGACTGAAGACGTAAGCGAACAAACAACGATGCGGATCCAATTTAAGACTGAAACGCAGTCTCGGTTCCTGATAACGTCACCGCTTAAAGGAACTTGAAATCTTGCGCCACTCAATGACACCAACTGACGTCTGTCTCGACTCTCTGTGACCTGCCGACCTTCTAGAAGCGTCTACGCTAAACATTAATCGTAATAATTATACTTATTATAATCCTACTAGATACACTTGTTTGCCATTCATTACTTCGATCTCCTTTCTGCGAAGTTCTTTAACTACCCATCACTCAAATATTTGGACTTGATGCTTATTTATTAGCCCACGCCAAGTAGTTGAACAAGGAATAAGAATTCAGTTTATATGCCGGAGTTGAAGTTCATTCTTAAATCTATTGTTCTGGGATCATTGGATTCAATTTGTTTAAAATCAGCAGATGACGATGAGAGGCAGGTATTCTCAGGAAAAGTATCAACATCACAATTGAATGCATTTTTAATATGAACTGGCTACTAAAATGAGATTTCATTTCTATACATAAGGCAACATAAATGCTAAAGACGCCTTTTTATCTTTCAAAATACGTCTAATTCAAACAGTAGGGCAGACACCGGCAAATCAGTTGGCTTTATTTCTGTACGCATTACAATCTAAACCATGATATTCGTAAATGGATCAATAAACCTAAATGAATAATGGGAATCAATGACTGGCAGTTTCACCGAGGTACCTGAAACCTGAAATCGATGTACTATTGTAAGATGGCAGAGATTATTTTTAAAAAACACATGAAATAAATATATTACAGGAACTTTGCAGAGATTATTTTTAAAAACTAATCGGGAATGCGGCAAAATATATACAACGTATCAAAATGCAAATCGCTATGGTGCCGCAGTGCATCGTTTAGAGTATTTTGGAAAATATTTACACAGATAATTTCAGATCTAGATGCTTGTCGATGTCCAATTCGGATACATTAAATACCCTTTCGAGATTATCTATAACAATATCCTTGAATTAAGGGGGCGAGGGGTAATGTACGCCGATTGATTGTTTGCTGGTTTGTTATTCCTTCACGAACATAGCGGAAGCCCAAACAATAATTTGCACAAGAGTTTGTGCAAGAGTAAAACGGGATGACTATTGTTTTTAAAAAAACGCGGTACAATTACGATATTGTTGGAGTTTAACTACAGATCTTATAGATGAAAAAAACGCGGTTGCAGTACAGGTCTACATTGATGCAAAATACACAAAAACCAAGAAAGGGCCGAGGTTCGTCCGCGCGAAGGTGAGCCAATCTTCCAATTGGGTGGCAATTGGGCCGCGACGCGCGGAGCGGATGCCGACGTTTGCCGCATTGTGCGAGCGAGCTTCCAGAATTTTCTCAAGCAGGGACCCGTGGGTAGTGTAGCTAAACGTCCGCTTTTAATCAGCATTCCAGCAATCTAACTACTTCGACTTTATTTGATGATGCTTATGCTTCCAGTCTCAAGCGCTACAGTTCTCAACGCCTAAGGTCACATCGTGATGGTATCTATGAAATTTTTAAGAAACTGCTGCTTTAACTGCACCAATGAAATTGCACTTTGCGATTTTAAGCGCGTTTACGTGCTTGGCGGTGAAATCCCCTTTCAGGATAGTGTATGGAGAAAATCTAAAGAAATCGAGGACATCGAAAATCCAAACGTAGAAATCAAAAATTTAAACAAGGGCCACGGGACCACACATACATAAATTTGTGCAACTATTTCCTATAGTACAAGTCTCTTCCCAGTAATGCAAAAAACATATAGTATGTTATGTGCTCACTAGATATAAATCCAAAAATTGTCAAGGAAACGCTGCCCTGCATAAATTTAATGACTTTTTTATTATGTGGCTAAATAAAAGAATAGTGACATATGAGAGACAACTCGTGTAGGATTGTTACGTGCTATAAAATTTAGATAATCGCAGAAAGCCATATAAATGGAAACAGTAGTTATACAGCTGTAGGCTGTTTAATTACTTCTTCTGTTACGCAGTTCAACCACTCTGGTGAACGCCTTGAGGCTTCGAATTCGACTTCGTGACCTTGCCTAGTTGGCTATTAGGCATCACTGACTCAGCCCTGTAGTCGCGGGCTTATAGAATAGGGCTAAGGTATTCCCTGCCTGTCGTAAAAGGCGACTAAAAGGGGACACGGATTGGCAGCAGCTCGAAGTGGTCTCGAGCTGCTGCAAGATGGTGAGGGAACCGGGGAAGCTATCCTTCTCCGGGGAGTGCTCACGCGCAGTACTGAGGGAGACCGGTGCGTTCCGTGGGAGATCCCGGAGTCCCTCCAAACGTACAGAGGGTGGCCACCGAGAGGGTTTTAGTGGTCTTACCCACTCCTCACATAACCCTGACATGTAACGTGACAGGGTATCTTTGGAAGATTTCCCCCGATACCAAAAAAAAAAGGCATCACTGCCTACATCCTTACTAATGTTATAAACTATATATTTGTATTTAAGGATGGATGTTTGTTACTGTTTCACGCAAATACTACTGAATGGGTTTTAATGAAATTTTACAATAATATACGAGTATCTTATACATCAGAATAAGACATAGGGTATAATTTTAATACATATTTTATGTATATCTGTCTTTCTGTCTGAATGTTACGTGTTCAGCCTATTCTACGCAGACATAGTCGCGGGCAGCAGCTAGTCTTTGTAATAAGTATTTACGAATATCAGATGAGCTCAATCACTAACGTCCGAGCGGTCGCATTAATCAAAAAGGAGCGTCGCGTTGATTTCCCGTTCGCGCCAATTGCATACGCGACAGGCGAATTCGACGGGTACGAAAATAGAACAATTAGTCGAGCGTCGGCGACGTGAACGAGATCACGTGAGTGCCACGCCCACGACTGAGATTATTGAGATTGCTGTGATCGACCAGTTTAATACTATACAGTGCAGCGCGTTTTACAGCAGACAAGGTACACTTTCCTCACATCTATTTAAGCATGCTGCAGACATTAATGGATTTTATTCGGTTGAAATACATATAATGGAAAATTTTTAAATTATAAATTATACAATAATAATTAATTATACATAAAATGAAAAATTGTATCGAAGACAGTAATCGCTCATATAACAATATAACAAAAGTATCATACAAAATTATAGAGTTCCATACTAGATGAGAAAATGGATACTTTTGTACGAATGCGCACGTAATTTAACTAAGTTAATAACAGAGCCGTGATAGCTCAGTGTCCGGGCGCTCGCCTTTAATTCAATATACTCGAGCAACCCGAGTTCGATCCCCGGTGCCGGCACCAATGAAGTTTTTAACTTTAAGTGCTGACTTATCACGTGCTCCGCGGTGAAGGAAAACATTGTGAGGAAACCTGCATAGTTTCGAAATAATAACAAAAAAAATATATTTCGAAGATATGTGAAGTCCGCCAATCCGCAGTGGGGCAGCGTGGTGGACTATGGCCTGATACCCTCTGTAAAAAGGAGGCCTTTGCCCAGCAGTGGGACATGTATAGGCTGTTACTTTACTTTTACTTTTAATAACAGAATGGTTTCCAAGAGATGGCAAAATAAAGAAGGGCAGAAAAATCAAAATATGGGAAGATGACTTCAAAAAAATAGCTGGTCCGGTATGGATCCGTTTAGCAAGAGACAGACAGTATACGTGGAAATCTTTAGGGGGGGCCTTTGTCGACAGAAGCCAATTTTCCAAAGGGTTGTCAACGCATCTGGAACCCTCGGGTGTAGCAGATGTCCAAGGGCGGCGGTATTCGCTTAACATC